TCTTGAGGTGAGGTTCCCTTCATGTCTTTTCCATGTCAACCCAGCGCCACCAGCCCCACAGCAGAGGGGTCCGAGAGCAGGTTTTTCCTCTCTGGGTGAAGAGGTGGTGGGATGAGACAGAGACGACTGACAGCCTTCAGAAAGAGGAGGGGCAGACAGGAAGAGCCCCAAGCCAGGGAAAGCTGTCGTCCAGGGCAAGGGACAGAGGAGGACACTGGGAAGAAGGGAGTTGAGGGTGTCTTAGGAGAGCTTAATGCAAGAGCAGCTTTCTCAGGTCACCTGCCTAAACCTGCAAGTGCAAATTAGATTTCAGATTAGATTTATATTCTGTTCAATTTCATTCCTAAATACAGCTTAAATTCTAAGGACAGAATCACTCCTATGTATCCTCTCCATTCCCCAAATCCTGTTTCCTCCTCCAGTCCAGGGAGTCTGAATTCGAACTTCCTTTAGTGAGAGGGAAAGTCTTTCCTTCCACAATAATGGATTAAAAGTCTTAAAACTGCCAACAGAGGTAGCACACTGGTGCGAATGAATGTCAAAACATACCTGAAAGCTCCTTTCCTGTTGTCTGGGGGGAGGGGAAGGAACCATAGAGGAGAAAGCAGGAACTGGGGACTCTGGCCAAGTGGTTTCTCTTCATCCCTGTGCTGAGAAGAGAGGCTGTGGACCAATCCTCTCTGCAAAGAGCAATGCAGGCATTTCAGCAGTGCCTAATCTCTGTTTTCCCATAATCTGTTCCACTTTTATAATAATTTCTAAAAATGAACACAAGCATTTTCTGAATTGTGGATGATTCCCTCTCTCTCTCTCTCTCTCTCGCTCTTTTAAAGATTTAATTTATTTATTTAGCAGGGAGAGAGAGAGCACAAGCAGGGGGAGCAGCAGGCAAAGGCAGAGGGAGAAGCAGGCTTCCCGCTGAGCAGGTAGCCCAGTGTGGGGCTCGATCCCAGGACCCTGCGATCATGACCTGAGCTGAAGGCAGACGCTCCAGAAAAACTGAATATGGCCTCCTAGTTTTGGTGCCTGGGTTTGTGTCTGTTTGTGATCACATTCCTGCCAAGTGAAGGCCAAACAATACCTCCAAATTATCTATAGATGAAGGTTTTCTGCTAGTTCAGGAAAGTAAAAGTGCTGGGAGAATTTTCATCACTACCATGTGACAGAGAAAAATAGAAACACCAAACTTGAAAGAATCTGTGCATGTCAGTGAGTATAGCATTTGTATGGTACTCATATTTTAAGTGTTTTCCTTGTATGCCTTATTCATACTAACTTACTACAGTTCAATAGCAGAAAATAGGTCAATATGCAATAACTAATTTGCTTAAAAGAATTTTTTTAAATTACAGTTTTTTATTTGGGAGGGCTATACCCCTACATTGATTGATCCATCCAAAAATAAATCTGTGGTTAAATGAACTCCATTTTTAAAAAAGAAATTTATCAGCAATGATATGATAATTCAAATGCACAGTCAGAAAAACCAAGTTAATAATAAGATGTTATGTTTTTCCCAATAAGCCCCGCATTGGCGATTTTGCTTAAACAAAACCGTACTACATGTCACATTAACTTAATGTGGTCAATTTGAATTTTTTTGGGTTTGCTTATATTTAATTTGTAAATTGAATTGGTTTTATAGTTGCTTATATGAGAGCTGTATGCATAAGGAGTGGAGTTTACACCTATTTTTATGATTGTACATATTTGTGTAATTTTATAATAAAGTCATCTAAGTCAATATATTAGTTAGTCATATATTAGTTAAGTTTGAGATAAATTCCCTGGACGAGACTTCCCAAAGTTTGTTCTATGGAATGCTAGTCCCAGAAAAGAAGCAACTGCAACAAAATGCATTTGTTAACCAATACATTTAGGAAATGCATTACAGCTCCCCTTTGGGAATTTACAGTACATGTTAGCCTACTTTTACATGAGAAAACTGTTTATGTACGCCTGCAGTTTTCCAAAATTATTTGACTACATGAAACTATTTTTCATGGAATCATCACTGAGATCTTACGAAGTTCTCCAAAACACAGTAATGAAGAATTGTTCTAGACTAGGGAAAAGCAGATCACACACTTCTCACTGAGGAGATAAGCAAGATAACCAAGTCTGAAGCTTTGATGGGAATGTGGTTCCAGGAGGTGGGAGGAATTAAAAAACAGAAATGTTTTCTTCTGCGAATGCTAATGATTCCTCTAAGGAAGGAGAGGTTGGGAGCATATTGAATGTCCAGGGTGGCTGTGTAGGCTGCTGTCCAATCTACAGCCAAACCTGAGGAGGACCACTTGTAGAAGCGAGAGAGACACACAGACAGGGATGCTTTCTTCAGTGTGGCCTAAAGGAGTAGACATTGGTGAAAGTTACTACAGAGCAGATTTCCCTATTTGTCCAGATGTCCAGAGATGAAATGACTGCACAGCACACGTGCTGTCCCTGAGCAGCTCAGACAAAGGCTGAATGGCAATGGGGATACAATTCAAGTATCAATTAAGTGGTTGGAATCAATGGTTTTTAACCTTGAGTTTCTACGAGTCAACCCTTTTGTGATCAAAATTGAGATATGTACCCAAGATAACAAGGTACCCTACAGGATCATAAGAACACTTAAGTGATCACCGTGTATTAAAATGTTGACTCCTTAAATCCTCCCCAACAACCCAAGGAGGGAGGCACTGATTTTATCCCCATTTAATGGATGAGTAGCTGTGATGAGGAAACAGTCATGCACATCACTGTCCCTTTAAATTAATGACCACAGACCTCAAGTGGGCACCGATGCTGCCCAGCTATCAAACTACATCTCTCTTCCATTTACTCTTCTCTCCTCAAATCTTCAGCATCTCCCCAGTCCTCGCTCATAGACGATCCTGGTACTTCCCGTGTCACAGAGAAAACTGGAGTAATCAAAGGAACTTCCACAATACTCCTACCAACTCCCATGCATTCTGCCCCCGCACTGTTCCTCCAGCTGAAGGATCTACACACCTAACTAGTCCAACTCTCGCACACTGTATCATCTACTCAAGGCCCTCACTCAGCATTATCCCCTCTTCCTCCCACAGTATCAATTGTCCTGTGTGACCAGTCATTTTCATCATATGCATTCTGCCATTTCTCTTATTTTTGAAAAACTTCATTGCTTTCTCCCTTGCCTTTCTTAACCCCATCCCCTTTCAGCTGTACCACATTTCTTCTTTGCTTCCCTTTATAGCAAATGCCTCAGTCAGCTAATTGTTAATGCATCCAATTCTTCTCTTGCCATTCTTTCATAAACTGACTCCAATCAGGCTTTCACCTCCACTACGCTGCCCAAACTGCTCTTGTCAAGATCACCGGTGGCTGCCAGATGGCTAAATCCAATGGACACGATCTTAGTCCTCTCCCCTGACCTATCTACAGCATTTGACATCATTGGTCATTTCTTCCTCCTGGGAACACCTTCTGTGCTTGGCTTCCTGGTAACACACTTTTAGCTTTCTTCCTCCCTCACGGGCTGCTCCTTCTCTAATACGTTGCCTGGTTCCTCCACTTCCTCCAGACCTCTTCATTTGGAAGTGCTTCAAGGTCCAGGTTTTGAACTACTTCTTTTCTAATTTCCCTGGTCACCTCACCTAGTTTTATGGTGTTAGAATGTCACCTAAATGCTGTGGACTCCAAATGTGTCTCGGGCCCACACCTTTCTCTTGAGCGCCAAGCTCTTATACTCCACTGGCTACTTGACATCTCCAGTTGGATGTCTAATAGGTGTCTCAAATGTAACAACACTAAGCTTCAGATCTTTTTCAGTGAATGCGATGCTGCACTGCCCGCATCCCCTTTCAGGATGGAGGCTCCTATCTCACTGGATCACAGCAAAGCCCCTGCCTAAGAATTGCTCTCAGCTGAAAGGAGCTGTCTTGCCTAAGGTAACATCCTTCTTGGAGGAATCTCCCTTCCAATGCCTGCTTGATGTGGGAGCTACAATGGCCTGGTCCCCTTGCCTTCATTTAAGACAACACTTAAGAGTCATCTAGCTCCACATGGGATCAACTGAGGCCTCTGTCAAAACTGGATCACTTCTCTGTCTGCCTGACCCTACTTGTCTCACTCTCATTACAGGACGGGCCCTGCAACACTAATCCCTGTCTCAGATCTGTTTTCTGGGGAATATGGCTAAGATAGCAAATATTGAGAATGTTCCTAGGAAACAGACTCTAAAAAAATATTTTGGAACTAGATCACCAGCTTATTGGCTGGGTGTGAAAGCCTCATAACTGGTGGTAGGTGGAGTCCTTGCTATAGTGGTTTTTAAAGCTACCATCATCAATTGTTCTATCAGTGATTGAGAGGGGTGTTGATATCTCTACTATAATTGTAGATTTATCTGTTATTAAATGCATACACGGTTAGGCTTGTTATCTTTAATCCTGGTTATATATCTTACTACGAAGTATAGTTTGTTTCCCTTTGTCTGGTTTAGTGATGTGAGTCAGTAAGTTTCATTTTTAGTCTCATATTTGCATATGTTTCTTTTTGTTCAGGGCCCCATTTAGATATACCTTTGCTGAGAAGCTCCTGAAGACAGAATTTATTTTTACCTCTGGCAATCATAATGAGCATGGAATCCACTGAGCACAGACTGCATGTGTTTGTTTTAATTTTATTGAGCACAGATTGCATGTATTAATTTATATATGGATTGGCTGCTCTTGGGTCAGACATATATCTGTTGTCCAAAATATGTGCATGTTGGGTGGGGAGTGGGGGGGCTGACATGATACAACATGACTGTACAGGGCTACTCCTTAGTTAGGGCCTATGGATGTGCCATTCCCTTAATGAAAAGTGGAGAACATATATACCATCGGTGACTAAATATAAGATGAGCCTGAAATATAAGATGATTTTCCTTGTAAGATTTATCCATGTAGCTGCAGCTAGGGTGCTCAGTCTTTCCAAGGAAGCTAAGGCCACAATGGGGTGAGGCCCTCACTTGACCTGGTGACTAGCACCACACTCGGCAGTGCCCGCTCAGCAACTGCCCACACCGTGGCCTCCCTCTTGGAGCTTGCCTGCATCTACTTGGCCCTCATCCTGCACGATGATGAGATGACTGTCATGGAGGATAAGATCAATGCCCTCCTTAAAGCAGCAGGTGTAAATGTTGAACCTTGCTGGCCTGGCTTGTTTACAAAGGCCGTGACCAATGTCAACATCGGGAGCCCCATCTGCAATGTAGGGGCTGGTGGACCCGCCCCAGCAGCTGGTGCTACACCAGCAGGAGGTCCTGCTCCCTCCACCAGGTCTGCCCCCACTGAGGAGAAGAAAGTGGAAGCAAAGAAAGAAGAATCAGAGGAGTCTGATGATCACATGCGCTTTGGTCTTTTTGACTAAACCTCTTTTGTAACCTGTTCAATAAAAAGTTGAATTCTTCAAAAAAAGATTTGTCCATGTTATTGCATGTAGCTCTAGCTTATTCACATCCTGTTTAATATTGCATTGTATGAATATACCATATTATCCATTTTTCAGTCGATATTCATATGTAACTCTATTGTTTTTCAAACTGTATTTAAAATGCTTGTTTATTCTGTCATACAACAGATAAAATTGTGAGGTCATACTTTTAGGAAAAATTACTAAATATATAAATTTCTCTCCACCCCCCCCATTTCCATCAGGGATAGCTCTTGCACATCTAAATATTATTTGTTTGATATCATTTAAAGCTAATTAATCTTTTGCCACCTGAAGTGCTTGGTAGTTCAGAATAAAATAATTGAGAGTGTGCTGTAACAGGAGGCTTTGCAAATAGCCTTCTTTTCTGAGTGGGAGTATTGCAAGAGAAATGAAAAACATGTCCACAAAGTACTTATACACAAATGTTTATAGCAGTTTTATTCCTAATAGACCCAACTGGAAATGACCCAAATTTCTATCAACAAAGTGAATGGATAAACATATTGTGGGATATTTATACAATGGAATACTAATTGGAATTTAAAAGTAAAATTATTGTTATACAAAATCTCAAAAGCATTTGGTCATTTTTGGAAGATCACACCTTCACTAGGTTGTGAAAGCCAAGCCAAGCCAAGCCAAAAGGGGAGTGGGTTAGGGTAAGATGTGGCTATATTAAAATGGCAAGAACAGTTTTTTGAGGAAGGAACATTTGAGGTAAGATTTTAAGAATGACAATGAGCCAGACATCAAAAGAGCTAGTGGGTAGTACTCTAGCTAACGGAACAGCAAGTGCAAAAGACTGGAGGCAGGAAAGGTCATGCTTTGTTGAAGAAGGGAGACCCCTTGTGGCTGAAGTAGCAGATAGAAGAAAAGACTAGGAGCCAGGTGGAGAGTTGGTATAAGGCTAGAGAGAGAGGCAGGAACTAGGTTATGTACACCTCTACAGCCTATGGTAAGGGACATACTCTTAAAATCAAACCTACTGGGGCGCCTGGGTGGCTCAGTCGTTAAGCGTCTGCCTTCAGCTCAGATCATGGTCCCAGGGTCCTGGGATCGAGCCCCACATCAGGCTCCCTGCTCCGCGGGAAGCCTGCTTCTCCCTCCCCCGCTCCCCCGCTTGTGTTTCCTCTCTTGCTGTGTCTCTCTCTGTCAAATAAGTAAATAAAATCTTAAATAATAAAAAATAAAAAAAAATAAACACAAGGATAATTTGGCAACATGTATTTAAAAAAATAAATAAAATCTACTGAGGAATAATGTATATAATAGATAATATTTATGTATAAATATATATATAATTTATATATTAGTATATTATATATTGGGGCAAAGTGTATATTATATATAGGGATATAATATATATATTTGTTATATATAGTTTAGTTATATGTTATTATATATTGAGGTATAATATGTATTATATAAGATATTATATATATATATATATTTTTTTTAAGTAAGCTCTAGGCCCAATGTGGGGCTTGAACTCATGACTCCAAGATCAAGAGTCACATGCTCCACCAATGGAGGCAGCCAGGTGCCCCTAGGATATAATATATGTTTATTATATATATAATAAAATGCACTCATTTGAAGTATACAATTTAGTGAGCTTAACATAAATGTCAAATATGGTTACTTCAAATAACCACTATCAGGATCCAAATAAAGAACATTTCCAGTACCCAAAGAATTCTCTTCTTCCTCATTCTAGCGGACATTATCCATCCTCATTCCTAGCCAACCTAGGCGATTGGCTTTGCCTATTGTAGAAGTTCATATAAAGGGAATCATCTGAGCTTCTTTTGCTCAGCACAAATATGCCAATATAGTTCAGTTGGAATTCAACAAAATGCTGGAACAACTGTATATCCATATGGAGAAAAATCAACCTCAGCTCTTACCTAGCACCATACTCAAGACTTAATTCAAATTTATCTGTACACCTAAGCATGGCAAAGCTATAAAACTTCCAGAGGAATATATAGATAATCTCTATAACTCAGTAGTAGGCAAAGATTTCCTAGTTCAGACACTAAATAAGACAAAAACATTTAAAATGACAAAATTGGACTTCATCAAAATTCAAAACCTCTAAAGTGTCTGCTTTTCACAAGACACTTAATAAAAGGAAAAGTCACAGACTGGGAGAAAATATTCACAGTATGCATATCTGACAAAATGTGTATGGCATATATAAAGAAATCTTAGGGCGCCTGGGAGGCTCAGTTTGTTAGGCAATTTGGTTTCGGCTCAGGTGATCTCAGGGTTGTGGGGTCTGCTGAAGATTCTCTCTCTTCCTCTGTCCCCCTGCTCTCTCTCTCTAAAATAAATAAATAAAATCTTAAAAAAAATAGAAATCTTATGACTCAATAATAAGATGAAAATCTAATCAAAATGGGCAGAAGATTTGAACAGACCCTCCACAAAAGAAGATATATGAATGGCCAGCAAGCACAGGAAAAGATTCTCTATATCTTGAGTGCTTAGAAAACCAAAAATTAAAACCATAATGAGATATCAACATTGCTATCTCAATATATAGCTAAAGTTAAAAATATTGACAGTAACAAGTATGGGCAAGAATGTGGAGCAACTGGAATGCTCGTATATTAGACTACAGCAACTATTCTGGAAAACAGTTTGGTGGTTTCTTGTATATAGCTTTTTAAGATTTTATTTATTTATTTGGCAGAGAGAAAGAGACAACACAAGTAGGCAGAGAGGCAGGCAAAGGGAGAGGGAGAAGCAGGCTCGCCGATGAGCAGAGAGCCTGACCCCAGGCGCCCCTGGTGGTTACTTATAAAGATACACTTACCATATGCCCAGATTTTAAGTCCGCTTTATCTCTACTATTTATCAGCTATGCTTTTTGTTGTTGTTGTTAGGAGTTGCCCTAAGGTTTATAACCCACGCTTTTAGTTTATTATAATCTACCTAAATGCTATTATCCCAATTCACAAATAATGTCTGACCCTTACAACAGGATGCTTTCTGTAGTCTCCTCCCATCCTTTGTGCTGTTGGCATCACTGATTTTATCTCTGCTATAGACCCCACAATACATTGCTAGTGGTTTTGCTTTAAATGGTCCATTATCTTTGAAAGAGATAAAAAGATGACAAAGAAAATTGTTTGACTCCTATATATACCATTTCCAGTATTTTCATTACATGTATAAATCCAATTTTCACCTGGTATCCTTTTTCTTACACTTGGAAATTTTTCTTTAACATTTCTTGTTTGGGCTGGCTTATGATGAATCCTCCTAGTTGTTTTTTGTCTGTTCACTTTTATTTTTTTTAAGTACCAATAACTTATTTATGTGACTTAATATGCCATATAGATAGTAGGCTTTTAATAAAGGTATTTGACTCTCACATATGCATTAAATTGGCTTTTAATAATCTTTCACTGGTCAGAAAAAGAAAATAGTTTCCATAATTATTGCAAGGTAGAATCTTAAGATATTAATTATTTATGATTATGGGGGGCGGAGAGCAGGAGAAGGAGAAAGAGATAATCCCAAGCAGGCTCCATGCCCAGGGTGGAGCCCGACGTGGGGCTCAATCCTATGACTCTGAGGTCATGACCCTGAGATCATGACCTGAGCTGAAATCAAGAGTCAGAAGCTTAACCAGTTGAGCTACCGAGGTGCCCTTCTGATTATTATTAATTGAGGAAATAACTAGGGTATGCCATCTTGAGGAGAAGATTGTTGGGGCAGAAAAACAGAGAGTTTTTTTTTATTATTTTACTAACATAAAATATTGGGTGGGCTTATTGATCACCAGATTGATAGACTGATAGATGAAACTGATTCTATTGTAAATCCTAGAGAAAACAACTGATTCTTTAAAAGTGTGCAAATTTTGTTCTCAAATGAAAAGGGCACAGCTGTAGTATATTGCCAGACAGATATAGATGTTTATCAACCAATTTAGACACATAGAAATGCTAAGAAGAATCAGGTAAAAGTTGTCATTTAAACTGAGAAACTTAGACTCTAGTTCTGCAAAAACTGCGTCAGAGGGCCTTCCACATTAATACTCAGGAGTTTTTTTTCTTGAACTAGTTTCACAACGGAGAAAGGCTTTTTCTTTAAAAGTGCAATGAAGGGGCACCTGTGTGGCTCAATTGGTTAAGTGTCTGACCCTTGATTTTGGCTCAGGTCATGATCTTGGGGTCATGATCTCAGGGTCCTGAGATTAAGCCCTGCCGTGTGGGCTCTGCACTCAGTGGCGAGTCTGCTTCTCTCCCTCTCCCTCTGTCCTTCTACTCCTCCCCCGGCATGTGCATGCTCTCTCTCTCTCAAAATAAATAAAAAAATCTTAAAAAAAAATGCAATTAAAAGATACTCATTTATTACACTTATTTTTATTTATATTTCTGTAATAGAAATACATGTATATGAATATAATGTATAAAATAAGCATAATATGTAACATATAAGATATATAATATATTAGAATACATATAATATATATAAACATATTTATATATCTGCTATATAAATATAGCAAAAAATGTGCCATGATTAGACACTTAGAGTTTAGAAAGATAACTGTCATTATTGTGGAGAGTGGTCAGTAGAAGCCGCGGGGTGTGGGGAGGCATGAGAAAGAGGCTGGTAAAAAAAAAAAAATCAATTGAATAATTAAGTGTAGTTTGGTTCAAGAATAAACATTTTTTGAGGGCTTATTATGTGCATACAGAAGACCTGTCTTTCAAGAGCTTACAGTCCACTTGGAGAAACAGCTAAATAGTAATTTCAGTGAAAATATGTTCAGCTTTATTCTTGAAAAATATTTTTCACTGGATATAGGTTTCTTAATGGACAATTTTTCTAGAACTTTAAAGATGTTATTCTATTGTTTTCTAGCTTGCACACTTTCTGACAAGGCATCCATGATAATTCTTATCTTTGTTTCT